TGGTTTAGACCTGGTTTAGTCCTGGTTTAGACCTGGTTTATTCCTGGTTTAGACTTGGGTTAAGTCCGGGTTTAGACCTGGTTTAGTCCTGGTTTAGTCCTGGTTTAGACCTGGTTTAGTCCTAGTTTAGTCCTGATTTAGTGCTGGTTTAGTCCTGGTTTAGACCTGGTTTAGACCTGGTTTAGTCCTGGTTTAGTCCTGGTTTAGACCTGGTTTAGACCTGGTTTAGACCTGGTTTAGTCCTGGTTTAGTCCTGGATTAGAGCTGGTTTATACCAGGTTTAGTCCTAGTGTAGTCCTAGTTTAGTCCTGATTTAGTCCTGGTTTAGACCTGGTTTAGACCTGGTTTAGACCTGATTTAGACTTGGTTTATTCTTGGTGTAGTCCTGGTTCAGTCCTGGCTTAGACCTGGTTTATCTCTATGGCGGACGCTCTGTTTCAAAATGTACATATTGCTTCTTAAAATTAAATTAAAATGAAAAATCATGTACTTAACGTGTACTCATGAGTTATACTGTGGAACACTTCAAGCAAAACAGTAAAATCTCCATGGAGACAAGCAGCTGGCCGACACCCCACCAGAAAAGTTACATAGTGGACCTTTAACACAGCCTTGCAAATGGCCTAATAAAACACAAAACCTTCACTTTATCTTTCCAATAGCAGATTAAATCCTCCGTGTTCAATGTTTCATAATTATTTGTTTTGTAAATGTAACCACTGAATCCTCTGTTTCCCTGTATAATAAACTGGTGTAATAATCCCTAATTCCCTTTCACATGCGCTGCACCTGCTGAAATGGTGTCATATTTAATCTTTTCACTGCCATAAAATAATGAGGCCCATTTCAGAGAGCGTATTCATATCTGTTACGCGGCGCACTCACTCACAGCCTGTACAAACAATAGAGCTGTATCTTTCACACTGCACTCGTATCTTTACTGTACACTGTCCTATCTCTGCCCGACACACAGGTGCATCATGGGTCAGAGCACATGAGCATATACACGAGACGTCAGGAGTTTAACAGCTGTGTATATATGGACAGTTCATTATACAGACTCATCCCGTGTTGTATGATGGTGTGATTGAGATGAAGGAAAAACGTGTGGTGGGAATGTAGATTTAGCAATATTCTTGTTGAAATTAATAGTACTGGCATTTAGTAAATTATCTACTGTCAGTCTTTCTCTCTCTCTATTTATCTGTCTATCTGTCTCTCTATCAATCAATCAATCTATCTATCTATCTATCTATCTATCTATCTATCTATCTATCTATCTATCTATCTATCTATCTATCTATCTATCTATCTGTCTGTCTGTCTGTCTGTCTGTCTATCTATCAGTCTATCTATCAAGACTATCAATCTATCTATCTATCTATCTATCTATCTATCTATCTATCTATCTATCTATCTATCTATCTATCTATCTATCTATCTATCTGTCTATCTATCTATCTATCTATCTATCTATCTATCTATCTATCTATCTATCTATCTATCTATCTATCTATCTATCTATCTATCTATCTATCTATCTATCTATCTATCTATCTATTTATCTGTCTATCTATCTGTCTATCTGTCTATCTATCTATCAATCTATCCATCTATCTATCTATTTATCTATCGATCTATCGATCTATCTATCTATCTATCTATCGATCTATCGATCTATCTATCTATCTATCTATCTATCTATCTATCTATCTATCTATCTATCTATCTATCTATCTATCTATCTATCCATCTATCCATCTGTCAGTCTCTACACAAGAACACAAAAACCGTGTACCTTTTCTGGACTTTCAAGACTATCAATCAATCAATCAATCTATCTATCTATCTATCTATCTATCTATCTATCTATCTATCTATCTATCTATCTATCTATCTATCTATCTATCTATCTATCTATCTATCTATCCATCTGTCAATCTCTACACAAGAACACAAAAACCGTGTACCTTTTCTGGAGAGGGGACAGCCTTTTGCTTCTTTTCATTAATGTGTTATTACTTTGCTGGAATGTTCCACAGTGTGGCATGAAATCTATATCTGTCATTTATTCAATATCACGTATGGCTGTGCAATTAATCGAATTTTCATTGAAATTTTTATTTGTGTGTCAAACGATCTCTAAACTCATATAATCAAGTTGAAAGGATTTAGGATGCACTCACACTCTCACACTCGGTAAAGCTTTGGTACGTTTGTCCAGTGTGAGCGTAATCACACTGGAGGAGGTGGGCCAAAGCACAGCACAGTTGCTCATGTTCGTGCACAGGCACAACTTCACTATACGAGCCCTGTGTGTGCGCTGATGTTACTTATACGATAAAAATAGTGAATAAAACACACAGTGAATCCACGCAGACCTTCAATAAAGATTGTGACAGAGACAAAAGTTATTTTTCCTTGCAAACGATCGCAATTTTGAGGGCCTGATTGTTGACAAAAAGTCCCCAAACCGGGTATCAGATTGACCAGTCTGGCGAAAAATTTGATAAAATGGGCATCGGGACAATTCCCAAAGTGACCCCACTCAGCAGCGTCCCCTGGAATTTGCAAAAATTGAAACTCTATGGGCAGTTGAAAAACATATTTCGATGCAGGCAAATGAAATTCGGGACAGTGATAGAGAACAATGAGACAAGCCAAATGATGACTTGGAACATGCCTCTATGACGAACAGAACAACGGCCATATTGGATAAAAAACTATAGCGCCCCCTACCAAAGACATGAAATATCAACTCTGAATTTGTACGAAATTCAGAGATTTAATTCTATGCATGATTTTGAGCAAAAAATCAGTTATACACTGCATGACCCTGATTCTATTGATATGTCAAACACAATTATCAGTGCTACAGCGCCACCTATAGGACAGCACAAAATTTACTATGGGGAGAAAAAAAATTACTTTTAAATTAATTTAAAGATTAATAGATTTTAATAGATTTTATTTTTATTTTTAGATTTATTTGTGAAACTTTGCAGAACATTCACTGACATGCTCCTGATCATAAAAGTCAATGAGACCTATGCCCTAGTTTTTATACTTTTCCCTCTAGAATCATTCACTTTTAAGAACTTTAAAGACACACTATGTAACTTTTAAAGTGGAGGGTGTGTTTTTATGCAGTCTTAGTCTTGACCATAAAAGTCACGTGACCTACGGCCTAGTTTCTATAGTTTGTCTCTAAAATCAGTCACATTATTCAATTTTAAAGGTGCACTATGTAATTTTTCTAGTGGATGAGCTGTCGACCTGTGTGGCTGTTGGGAAGAGAGAGTGCTGTGGAGGTTGTTCGGGGGCGTGCGCACCAAGGCGAGGGCCATCATCACCACGAGCAGTTTTAATTCATTTTATGTTTTATACATCGCAAAACTGCTCTAAGGTTCATATTTGTAGCCTATATTTATTTTCAATTTGAAAGTTACATGTACATTATCAGTAACAAAGTGTTTTGTTTTTTTTTTTAGAGAGAGAAATGCTGAATAAATGCATCGTGTAATTAAAAAAAATTATCGTTTGACTAATCGTGATTTAAGTATTGACCAAAATAATTGTGATAATGATTTTTGCCATAATCTAAGCAGTCTTAATATGTGTCTTTGTTGCTTACTGTGAAGGGGGTCTCCTGTCCACAGATCTAACCTGTCACTCGGGCCAATACCTAGTGAATGCGAGATGAAGCCCCATAAAGCACTGAAGCGCTCCATCCATTTGCTCGACTCTTGAGCCGATGCTTCAAGGTGCTTCATTTGCTCCACTGCGCCATCAAGTGGCCAAAAAAAGTATATCAGGCAGAGTGATAATAGAACAATCAACATGATCATTGTGGTTCTGATGGAAAGATTTATACTGAACAAATGAATGATTAAATATTTGAATGTTTGTGATATCAACATAAATTCTGAATTTATTAACATGGAGTCTGTTCATGATATAAAGGTCAGGTTAAAAGAAAAAGTAGACACTAAAGTTGATTTTTTTTTTTTAAAGAAATATATTAGACCAGGGGAAACAGTGTGTTGTCAAATTTGTGTATTTAGTAATATTGTTTATTTAATGACGTCATTATTACTATGTACTATTAGGAGATATCAGCACAAAATGTTCCCAAACAAGGGAAACTATTCTTTTTCTTGCTGGCTCCATAGCAAAAAAAAAGAATGTACCAAACTCACAATAACCCAACACCACAAAATGTTTTGGGGGAATCTTTTGTGTTTCTTTGGCCCTTATGTTTCGAATCGCATGCCAAATCTGCAAACCACTTCCTGAACCAGTCACGTGGTAGGGGCGGTTCGCGAGGCTTCGAATGTCACCACATACGTCACCGATACAAGCCTCGATATGCGCTTCACCAAAGTCTTTCTGGATTACTCGGCACACGCTTCGAAGCCTCGACACGGAGGACCCATCACTACAGATAGTTCTACCTGCACAGTACTATAACTATCTATACTGTACACTATCTACTGTCTGTGTGTGATGGTCCATGTGTCCACTCAGAGGGACAGAGAGACATAAAGAGTAAAACATCAAGAGTTCAACAGCTGTGTCTGTTTGAATAGTTCATTATACAGCATCATCCTGTGTTGTATAACGGTCTAATCTATCTCTATCTCTGTCTCTCTATTTATATATCTCTCTCTCTATCTCTTTCTCTCTTGCTCTCTATCTATATCTCTCTTTTTCTGTCTGTTTATCTATCTCTATCTATCTCCCTCTCCCTCATCTCTATCTCTCTTTCTGTCTATTTATCAATCCTTATCGCCTTTCAACAGATTTAACATGTCTCTTTGCCTCGGAGCGCTACCTGCTTGTCTCCATGGAGATAGAAGAGTTTAAGGTCATACCTTGGGACATTATAGACATTATTATATGTACATGGACAAATGGCAGACCCCCCAACAGTTATAAAAAGTCTACCTCAGTTGGATTGAGAATCACTTTGCTTATTTTCTGCTGGTTTTGTGTTTCAGAGGGAAAGGTGGAGGTGACCAAAGAGGGGATGAAGCTGTGCACGATGGGGCCTGGACGAGTGTTTGGGGAGCTGGCCATCCTCTACAACTGCACCAGGACCGCCACAGTACGCAGTGAGTCAAGTCAACCTGCGCAGTACAATTAAACCAGATGCCCTTCTTTATAACACAACTACGATCCCTGAACTTTTCACAATTTACTTTAAAACCAATGCAGAGATTCAGAGATACAGTACTTGTCCAATTTTCAAGCTCCAAAATGTGTCACATCAAGATGTCAGTTTTCACATCTGCTTAGTGAAACATAATTCAAAAGGAGTTTAAAGGGCCCATCTCATGCAAAATCAACTTTTCAGAGCTTTCTACCTTCAAAGAGTGATGTGTGGGCCTTGTATGTGTCGCCGAAGTGTTTTTTAGATTGATTCAGCATTTTTTTAAACAAATTGCAGTGTATTTCTGCCACCCTCCCACGTGACAAGGAACTAAAGCTGCTACACCTATGATGCATTTGACGTAGCAGAAAGCGCTTCGCACCCGCCCCCTCTCCCCGCTCCCCGCTCCACCGCCTCCACCCTGCATCGGCTGACAATTCCCACATGAACACCTAAACAGAAGCGACAGCATAAGCTCATTGTTCTACACTGCAGTGTACACGATATAGTTTATCTACTAGTGCAGGGGTCAGCAACCCAAAATGCTCAAAGAGCCATATTGGCCCCAAAAAAAAAAAACATACCTGCCTGGAGCCGCACAAAATGAAAAGCCTTATATAAGCCTAATATGAAGGAAACATAGGCTGTCAGTATATTAGCTATATAAGCCTACTATTAAAATGACTAAGTAGGCTACAAATACAAAATGAGCATTCATGATTACACAAACCCCTTTTGCGACCCTCTCATATTCAGTGCGCCATCTGTAGCCACTGAAATCAGGTGGTTAGTGTTTATTCCTTTGTCATTTAGGCCCCGTTTACACATACACAGGTATTTTTTAAAACGGAGACGTTTCCCTTCGTTTGTACACATCGTTTACACGTTAATTCGCCTCTGAAAACGAATCTTTCTAAAAACTCTGGCTAGAGTGGAGATTTTGGAAAACTCTGGTTTTACGTTTGCGTGTAAACTGAGATAAATGGAGTTTTAGGAGCTGACGCGCTGAAAGTGCGACCGACGTTTACCTGTTGCTTTGACGATGATGATGGAAGCATTCAGAGCAGCAGTTGCATTTCTTCTGATCGTGCATAGGAGCACTCATACAACAAACCTGGAGCAGAAGCTCTGAACTCGGGCAGCAGCGCTAAACACATGGGAGCAGTCAGCGCGCAGCCCCTCAAGACGGGGCTGGGGGTCCAGTGTTGGTCAGATTGTCCGGAGACTTCGTCCTCCATGTCCTGGTTCCAGACGGGGGCGAGCAAGACCAGCGCGCAAAGGACAGGGTCCGAGTGCTTCAGTGCGGTCATCTGTGCGCTGGTTCCGTGCGGGAAAAGCAAGAATGTGCTGTGGACCACAGGTCCAGGCTGCTGCGGTCCTCCATGCTTGACCGCGGCTGGTTCCGAGGGGGTGCAAAGCAGCCGGACAGAAGCGTGAATCCTATTTGGTTCGTTATATGTTGTTCTGAGCGGTCCGTCTGTGCACGTGTTTTGTTTTTTTTGTTTTTTTGGGGGGGAAAGCGCTTCTCAGGTGGAGGCACTGGACACCACCCCCCGCTTCAGCTCATCTGTTTGTTCTGCTGAAACAATTTTCATGTGTTTGCATTTGCACACACAGCTGATGGATCAATCCATGACCAGAGATGAACGAGGGTTTTATCCCTAAAGAAACCATATTAAAACAACAACCAAAAAAATATTTCCTTTTCCATTTTCACTCATTTTTGAAAAAGCTCCAGGGAGCCACTAGGGGAGTGCTAAAGAGCCGCATGCGGCTCCGGAGCCACGGGTTGCCGACCCCTGTACTAGCGTTTATTAATACTTTACCAATCAGTACAGTCCCTGACAAAAGTCTTGTTGCTTATCCATTTTGTAGAAACAAAAGCTTATAACCTGACTTTAAATTAATCGATTGGTTTTAGAAATGTCTCATATGAAAGCTAAAACCCTTCCAAATTATGCTCAATATACTAAAATAAATTTGCTTCACTGAAGAAAGATTGATCATTTAATGAACACAGAAAGGTCAGATTTTGGCAAGACAAAAGTTTTGTCGCCTACAGAAAATTTAACAAATAATTTACTTCAAATACAAAAATATGTTGCATAACGTCAGTGAATTAAGTAGTGGTGCTGTGAGATCCATATTTAATGTCTTATATGACTTCCATGAGCTTGAAGGACGCATCCATGCGGTTCGACAATGATTCATACAATTTGTTGATGAAGTCATCAGGAATAGCAAAGAAAGCGTCTTACATGCTTTGGTTTTGCCTTCCATGCTTCCTCTTTCATTCTACCCCAGACATGCTCAATGATGTTCATGTCTGGTGACTGGGCTGGCCAGTCCTGGAGCACCTTGATCTTCTTCGCCTTGAGAAACTTGGATGTAGAGATAGAAGTATGCGGTGGAGCACCATCCTGCTGCAAAATTTGACCCTTTTTATGGTTGGGAATGTAAGAGGAGCTAATACTTCTTGATATTTTAGGTTATTGATATTGCCTTCCACCCTGCAAAAGTCTTGCACACCCCCATACTGGATGTAACCCAGACCATGATTTTTCTGCCACCAAACTTAACTGTTTTCTGGGTGAATCTTGGATCCATGCGGGCTCCAGTAGGTCTCCTGTAATATTTGCGGTGGCTGTGATGTAATTCAACCGAGGATTCATCTGAGAAATCCACCTTCTGCCACTTTTCCAGTTTCCATCCTTTTAGCAGGCTGTGGGCCTTGGCAAATGCCACACGGTTTTTTAATTGCCTTTTGAGAAAGAATTCTACAAACTGTTCAAGTTGACACAGGGACTTGAGGTGACCAGGCCTGGTGGAGTCTGCTGCAGTGGAAAAGGGGCTGGCCTTGGATTTTCGAATCAACAAACGGTCCTCCCGAGCAGTTGTCTTGCGGGGTCTGCTGGACCTGGGCTTGTCAAAAACATCTCCAGTCATTTCAGATCTTTTTCTCATTCTTTGTACTTGACGCTGAGACACATTGAAGGTGTCACCCACCTCAGCAGTGGATCTGGTCTTCAGCCTCTTGATAATTAACGCTTTGGTCTCAGGGTGGATCTTAGGCATGTTGTCAGAGGTCAAGTTGCAGTTGATGTGAAGGTCTGGTGTGCTGGGCTTCTTTTTATACACACCCACTAATTGACTGATCAGTAACTGATCACAGGTGAGGCTGTAATCTAGGATTGGGTGCATCATATGACAAGGCGACAAGACTTTTGTCTTGCCAAAATCTGACCTTTCTGTGTTCATTAAATGATCAATCTTTCTTCAGTGAAGCAAATTTATTTTAGTTTATTGAGCATAATTTGGGAGGGTTTTAGCTTTCATATGAGACATTTCTAAAATCAATCGATTAATTTAAAGTCAGGTTATAAGCTTTTGTTTCTACAAAATGGATAAGCGACAAGACTTTTGTCAGGGACTGTAATGTTCAGTTGTTGTCAACGCAGTGCTTGAGCTTCGTGCAAAGTCCTCATCCAATCCCGGGTCCCCCTCCCTCCCTGAGATGGACGGAGGAAGGGCGGCTCACTCAGAGACTACGTCACGTTTGGAGGTCGGAGCCTGTGCTTTCTCAGGATGGGCAGGGGGATGAGCAATAGTTGGTCTTTCATAGTTCCTGGTCTGTGACTGCCTCCAAGAAATCAGTAAGATTTCATAACTATTGTGTAATTGATGTTCCAGAACCCAAATTGTATTTGGATATGTGCAGAAGATACAATGGAAAGAGTTATTTTGCATGACATGGGCCCTTTAAGGAAATGTTTGATAGTAATATTTAATAATCATTCAGTTGTTAGGTGTTTCATTGTATTTTAATCCATATTTGAATCTACTTTTCTCTAAGGTGTAGTGTAAATGTTTTAAAGTAGTGCACAGCTATAATGTTCAGTTTTATGCACTTCTAGGCTGGAGGCTATAATATAATATAAGCCCTTTTGGGTTTTTTGCCTCTTCCTGCGCCTACTTTTTTTATCTAGTGTGCCCCTTTTTATCATTATGTTATATATAAATAATAAAATAATTCTTACACTACACTAAGTCTACACTAGACTTAGACAAACTTTATTGATCCACATAAGGGAAATTAATTGGACACAGTAGCTCACAGCATCTTATAATAACAAAGAGAAACATATGAATGGTATAATACATTTTTCTTTTTTATTTTCTCCACCAATCACCACCAGTCAATTAAACATACACACAAAACAGAAAAGTGTCTTGTATAAGGGCACACTGGTGGTATGAACTTGCCTGATCAGCCACAGTCCGTTCTACATTCTGTTCGAATCCAGAAGGGACTAATTTGTATCACGTTTGAGACACCTCCTCTCAAATTCCAGTAACATTTAGAACAAAATATACAACTTTTTTTTCACCTGTGATAAGTAATAGTTTGGTGCTTCAGTTGTTGATTCTGTAAAAGAGACAAAATTGCTACAAGATTGGACGAAAAAAAGATTTAAGAGCTGGTGAAATATGCAATTTAAGAAGGTGTAGTTCCCAAAAAAAAACTGTAGTACAATGAACTTTAAAGTGAAAAAAGTGCAGTCTGAATTGTGAAATGGATTGCACTACTTATTTATCATGAATTTTTTCAAAATCTCGTTCTTATGGTGTGTCTTGTGAAAATTGTATTGTCCGATCCCTAGGAAAAATCCACGCTGTTTCTCAATTCCTGTATGTATTTTTTATTTTTTTTCACTTTTTCACATGCAGCAGCCATGTTTGTTTTTGTTTTTGACTTGAACATAGCACGTGTCTCTCTGATTGGTTAATCTGTCTGTCAGTCACGCCCTCTGAAATCAGGGAGAGCTCCGGATCCACTCGTCTTTATAACGTTTTTTAAGCTTAATTTAGCTCTGAAGTCTAAAAAATACAGAAAAAATAAGGATTGTCTCTCAAATATTTAACGTTATAACTTTTCACCCGTTTTTTCCCCGTGGAGATGTT